GCTTGGCCTGCTGTGTTCATCCAACTCTACACCTTGTTATCTCGAATGTTCAGATGGGCCTGATTGATGTTAGTATACCCAGTAACTTGAATTTTTAACATTGCAAATTTGCAGAGGTTTTTAAGTTTAGTGCAATTGTTATTAATGTAATCAATGAGGATTGATTACACTGAATATTGTGACTCGAGTTTAAATGGTGTATCAAATGTTACAAATATTACACTAATTATACAGTAAAAACCAACAACCATGGCAAATAACAATTACTGTTCCTGTGTTGGCAGGGTTATCTTCGTCATGATTTCTTGACTTTGTTAAGTCAGCATGTATCCACTCTTGCGCTGTCATCCTCAAAACCTACTGCAGTGGAATATTCCCTTTTACACCCTCTTTTTCAGAGATAGTCTGGGGTTCATTATTCACAAGAGCTGATTGTCCTATGAAAGCTCCCTTGTTATCAGTACCCAATGCTATATCAAATTTTTTGTCTATTGCATTAGTGTAAAAACCCACCCTTGCATTATCTGTCATCCTCAGTGAGTTTTATAGACAAAAAGACCAATTGTGCAGCCTCTGAATTGAGACCAATATCAAAGATCTGGTGAGTGAACTGCTAATAGTGTTTGCCTGCCCTCAGATAGTGGTCCTCGCTCAACAAGATTTGCATCTCCATTGCCCCAACATAACTAGAATTTTAAGAACAACTCAACATGCAACTGTGGTAACATGGATCAGACAATGAATGAGTATAGGGCACTAAAATTTGCTGTCTTTGGGTTCAAGGCAATCCATCTACCAACACAGTACTGTGACTTAGCTGTATCCATATTAGACTTGTAAAGCTGCACGGTGCCTGAAATAACTGCACAGAGGCAGGCACCCCCATCACTTACTTGTGCGCAGTACACTGGCTGTGGCCAGCCTGTTCAGTGTCAATCTCCTGAACTGACAAGATTCTAAATCCCCAGTTGATATTGGTCAGCCAGTGCCTCCTGATTGGCCCAGGTTAACAATCCCAATCAAAGACCTCGTCAATGAGGTCCACCTGGTTTCAATCACTACAACGCCATATGCAAGAAGAAGACACTTGCTGTTTCTGTTTTAGCATCACCTTCAGGACTGCATTTATTATCTCTCTTTGTCCTGTTCTCCAAGGTGAGTTCTTACACTCTAATGGCATTTCTTCTTTTACTTTCAAGCTTACTTTCTAGCAAAGGCTTCAGTATTCCTATTTGCCTTTATAAGTTGTGAATATCCAGAATTGTTTCTAAGTAATGTTAATGGACTGGATAGCCATTATAAACTGTTTAGTTATTATAATTCTTTATCAGGTTGTTGTACTATGAGCTGATTCACTCACTTGAGTAATTCTAATTTCACATACTAACTCTCTCAGACCCCAGTGGGCAATTAATTAAACAAGATTAACTGAAAATCCTAACCATTGCTTTGATATATACTTGTAGTTAATTGTTCAAACTATGTATCCAGTTGCGCTTCTACTATAGCAGAGGCACCTTTCCAGGCTAGCTACATGACTGAAGAATAATTATTCCACAGGATTGTTTCTTGAGAGATGATGCTTACAGCACCAACCCATTCCAAGCTGAATACTAAAGATAGTTTATTCTAAGCATATTTCTAATTTCTAACAACTACCCATTTAGTATGCCATTTCCTGTTTCAAACCACTTTATTTTGGTTTTAATTTTCAGTACATTTAAATCATCTTTTCTTTTCTTTTAAAATAGGTACCCAGATTAGTTGCTTCTCCCCAAGTTCTTTTTCTTGGCGACAAGCAGCTTATGTTGATGCCTACTGCTGGGCTTCGCTGCATCGACCTTTACCAAAGCATGATGCAGAAAGAATACCACTGTGGCTTCATAAGGTAAAACAATTTCATAAAGCTTTATTTTCTAGTGTAATTGTTTCATTATTTTATAATTACAGTTGCAAAACCACTATATATAATAAGTATTTTGACAAGAAACCATAAGACGTAGGAGCAGAAGTAGACCTTTTGGCCCATTGCGTCTGCTCGGCCGTTCAGTGAGATTGTGGTTGATCTGATAATCCACAACTCTGCATTTCTGCTTTTTCCCCATAATCCTTGATTTCCTTACTGATTTAAAAACCTGTTTGTCTCAGCCTTGAATATACTTAATGACCTAGCTTCAATGGCCATCTGTGGTAAAGAATGCAACAGATTCGCATTTGCTTCAGCTCTGTCTTAAATGGGTACCCGCTAATTTTGAGATTATGCCATCTGGTCCATGTGCAAAGTGGAATAAGACCTGGACAATATCCAGGCTTGGGCTGAAGAGAGGCCAGTAACAAACATGCCTCACAAATACCAGAGAGTGACTGTCTGTATTGGAGGCAATCTAACCATCACCCCTTGGCATTATTGTGACTGAACGCCCCATTATAAACATCCCCGGTTTAACCATTGACCAGAAACTGAACTGATCTAGCCATGGTCCAGCTCCAAAAATGCTCCAGAAGCTTGATACCATTCAAGACTGAGCAGCCCACATTACTGGCACCACATCCACTCTCTCTACCATCAATGCTTAGTAATAGCAGTGTGAACTACCTACATGGCCTTCCAAACCCACGACCACTGCCATCTAGAAGAGCAAAGGCAGCAGATACTGGGGCGTCACGGTGGCTCAGTAGTTAGCACTGCTGCCTCACAGCTCAGGGACTCAGGCTTGATTCCAGCCCCGGGCAACTGTCTGTGTGGAGCTTGCACATTCTCCCTGTGTCTGCATGGGTTTCCTCCGGATGCTCCGGTTTCCTCCCGCGGTCCAAGGATGTGCAGGCTAGGTAGATTGGCCGTACTAAATTGCCTGTAGTGTTCAGGGCTGTGTAGATTACGTGGGTTATATGGGTCTGGGTGGGATGCTGCAAGGGTCAGTGTCGACTTGTTGGGACAAAGGGCCTGTTTCCTCGCTGTAGGGATTCTATGATTCTATGATACTTGGGAGCAACATCCCCTGCAAGCTCCCTCCAAGCCACTCACCATCCTGACTTGGAAATGTATTGCATTCCTTCATTATCTCTCGTCAAAATCCTGGAATCGGCTTTCAATGGTGATCTGGGTCTACCTATATTACATGGACTGCAGTTGTTCAAGAAGGCAGCTCACCACCACCTTCTCAATGGTAACTAGGGACAGGCAATAAATGCTGGCCCAGTCAATGACACCCAAGTCCTGCAAGCTCATGTAACACCGCTGTTTAAGAACAGAGGAAGGCAGAAGATGGGAACCTATAGGCTAGCTAGCCTGATCTCAGCAGTTAGGTAGATTTTGGAGTCCATTATTAAGGCATTTTTGTTTGCCATTTATATAAACAAATTAGAAGAGAATATAGAAGGTGTAGTTTGTAAGTTTGCAGATGACACCAAAATTAGTGTTAGAGAGCTAGTGAAAAATATTATCTAAAAACACAGAGATTGTGATCAATTGGGTCAATGGGCTGAGGAGTGGCAGATGGAGTTTGATCTGGATAAATGCAAGCTATTGCACTTTGGCAAAACAAACAAGGGCTGTACTTTTAATAGTATAAGTAGGTTCTTGGGTAGTGTTGTAGGAAAGAGAGACCTAGGAGTTCACGTACAATTCTTCGAAGTTTGCATCACATGTAGACAGGGTGGTTAAGAAGGTATTTAGCACACTTGCTTTCATTGCTCAGATCTTTTGAGTATAGGAGTTGGGAAGTCATGTTGAGTTTGTACAGGACATTGGTGGGGCCTCTTCTGGAATACTGTGTCCAGTTCTGGTCACCAAGATACAGGAACGATATTATTAAGCCAGAGAAGGTACAGAAGAGATTTACCAGGATGTTGCTGGGAATGGAAAGTTTGAGTTATGAGGAGAGGCTGGGACCCTTTTTCACTGGCGTCATAGGAGGTTGAGGTTAATAAAGATTTATAAAATCATGAGTGATACAGATAGGATAAATGGCAGGTGTCTTTTCCATAGGATGGGTGATTTCAAGACTAGTGGGCATATTTTTAAGGTAAGAGGAGAAAGATTTTAAAAAAGACATGAGGGGAAATTTTTTTACAGACTGGTTCCTGTGTGGAATGAGCTTCCAGAGGAAGTGCTGGATGTGGATACAATTAGAATGTTTAAGAGACATTTAGATGAGTACATGAATAAGAAATGTTTGGAGGATATGGGCCAAGCACAGGCAAGCGGTACTAGTTTAGTTTAGGATTATGGTTGGCATGGACTGGTTGGACCAAAGGGTCTGTTTCCATTTTGTATGATTCTATGACTCTGAAATTGCAGAATATTTTGGAAGTGCATGGTAAAATATGGCAGAATCAGCCCAGCTTTGTCAAGGGGAAGTCGTGGTTGAAAAATCTGTTAGAGTTCTTTGTCTAAACTAGCTCGTTAGCTCCTCAAAGGTGAGCCAGTGTATGTGATCAGTTTGGATTTCCAGAAGGCCTTTGACAAGTTGCTGCACAGGAGGCTGCTAAATATGATAAGAGCACATGGTTTTAGGGGCAGGCTATTGGCATGGCTAGAGGATTGGCTGACTGACATTAATTTCAAGAGTTCTGGAATACAAAACCAGAGATATACTGCTGAAGCTGTGTTAAACTCTGGTCAGACCACATTTGGAATATTGTGAGCAGTTTTGGGCCCTTATCTAAGGGCTCTGGTCTCAACCACATTTCATAAGACATTCCTCCAGTACCCAGGAATCTAGTGAGGCTTTTCTGGACTGCCCCAATGTCAGTACATCTTTCTTAAATTTTCTTTCACAGTTTTTCCATTGTGGTCTGAGTAATGCCTTGTATAGCTATAGCATGACCTCCTTATTTTCAAACTTCATTTTCTTTGAAATAAGGGCCAACATTTCACTGCCTTCCCTGTTACCTGCTCAACTTGTCTGTTAGCTTTTAGTGATTTATGCACAAGGACTCTCAAGTTCATTTGTGTTATATCTTTTTCCATTTAAATAATATTCAGCCCCTCTATTATTCCTGCCTCACATTTTACCACATCCTATTCCATCAGCCAAGACTTTGTCCACTTACTTAACCTGACTATATGTCTCTGCAGAGTCTTTGTGTCATCTTCATCTCCTGTGATCCCACCTGTTTTTGTATCATTTGCAAGTTTGGCTGTGGTACCTTCACTTTCCTCATCCAAGTCATTAATCTGTATTGTAAATATTTGTGGTCCCAGCATCACTTCCAATGGCACACCACTAGTTACTTAAAGTCATAGTGTCATACAGCATGGAAACATGCCCTTTGGTTCAACCAGTCCATGCTGAATATAATCCCAAAATAAACTAGTCCTACCTGCCTGCTTCGGCTCCATATCTCTCCAAACGATTCCTATTCATGTACTTATCCAAATGTCTCTTAAACATTGTAATTGTACCCACATCCACCACTTCCTCAGGAAGCCATGGGAAATACAGGGATAAGGTAGGGGGTGGATCTGGTTGGGATGCTGTTCAGAGAGTTCAGTGTGGATTTGATGAGCCGAATGGCCTGCTTCCACACGGTAGGCACTCTGATTCTAAGTTCATTCCACATGCAAACTACCCTCTGTGTTTTAAAAAAGAATGCCCTTTATGTCTTTTTTAAATCTGCCTCCTCACATCTTAAGAATGTATGCCCTAGTCTTGAAATCCCCCATCCCAGGGAAAAGACATCTCCCATTAACTTTATCTATACACTTCATGATTTTACAAACTTCCATATGTCGCCTCTCAACCTCCTACGCTCCAGTGAAAGAAGTCCCAGCTTAATCAGCTTTTCTTTATAACTCAAACCTTCCATACCTGGCAACATCCTGGTCAATCTCTTCTGAACCTTGTCCAGCTTAACAATATCCTTCCTATAACTTGGCGACCAGAACTGGACACAGTATTCCAGAAGAGACCTCATCAATATCCTGTAAAACCTCAACATGACTTGCCAACTCCTATACTCAAAGGACTGAGCAATGAGGGAAGCACGCCAAATGCCTTTTTAACCATCCTGTCTATATGTGACGCAAACTTTAAAGAATTATATACGTGAACCCCTAGGTCTCTCTGTTCTACAACACTACCCAAGCCCCTACCATTAATTGTATAAGTCTCACCCTTGTTTGTTGTATCAAAATGCAATACCTCACATTTATCCAGATTGAATTCCATCTGTTATTTTTCAGCCAGCTGACCCATTTGATCAAGATCCATTTGTAATCTTAGAAACTATGTCACCGATTTTGGTGTCATCTGCAAACTTACTAACCCTATATTCTCATCCAAATCACTTATATAAATGACAAACAAAAGAGGACCCAGAACCAATCCCTATTGGTAGTCCTTTGTTGCTTATTGCAATTTTAAGAATCATCTGGCTTGCCACTAATCTTTGGCAAAATATGTTTTTATTTCTATCCTGGTTAATCATGGTTGGCTTATCACCTTCCGAGAATTCTTCTTTATTACTGGGATATATCTATCTGTGAGCCATTAACTATTTGCTTAAATGTCTGTCATGTTCTTCAATTGTCTTTCCAGCTAAACTCCTTTCCCAGTCCAATCCAGCTAGCTCTGCCTCATTGCCTTATAATTACCCTTATTTAAGCTTAGCATAGTTGTTTCTTCCCCCTCAAACTGAATGCTAAATTCTATGATGGTCACTGTTTTCTAGGGGATCTTTTACTCAGATATTATTTCGTAAACCTACATCATTGCATCTTACCAGATCTGAAATAGCCTGATCTCTAGTTGGATCGACAATATTTTGTGCTAAAAAATTGTCCTGAATACACCTTATGAACTCTTCCTCACAGCTACCTCTGCTAATCTTACTATCCCAATCTATTTGAGGATTAAAATCACCCGTGATTAGAATATTGCCTTT